AGATGTATCAACCAGTGAAACAAATAAACTAAGTCAGAAATTTTAAAAAAGAAAAAAATCCAGAAGAATAGTGAATCATTCTCTGACTATTTAAATATTGCTAGTTCCAGTTATACCCTGAAAGAGTCCAACAGCCAAATGGGGAAACAGAACATGAGGAAAATATCCCACTTGCTGATTTGTACCTGAGTGATCTCACTGCTTCTTCAATACCAGACTAGGAGGGGAGTGGAGGAGAGGGAGAAATTTGGGGGAAGCTTGGGGAGCTGAAAAGCAACCCCCTAGCACTGTTCAACTTCAGGCAACACTTGATGTTTGTCAGCACCGTGGTCCACCCAACATGCTCCTGAGCCAAGTCAGAAATGCATCACTGCATCATGCAGGATGTACATTTTCACTACATGACTCATGATGGATCCTGGATGCAAGGTCAAGGACAAAGTCCTTCAGCTCACTCCCTCAAGTGCAGCCTAACACATGCGAACAGGATAAATCATGTAGACTATTAAACTTTATGTAACAATACATTCAGAATATTAACTGCCTGCATCTTTTAAAAGAGTGCAGTCATTGACCAGGTTATCGGGAGCCCGAGCTGAAGTTAGTCCGCAATATATTTAAGCCATCGTAGTTCATCAACGTCCATACTGCTAAAAAGCAGTACCCCTGGAATAACAAGCAGGTTTGAAACATCTTTTTAAAATCTATGCTTCAGTGTGAAGTTCTGGGAAAATGAGCAAAGTTGATCCTTTCCTTTAAACAACAACAAAAGACGTTATTTACTATCCAATGATAAAATGTTTAACAGGCCACAGTTTTCAGCCAATATAGAACTGCTTCAAAGTAGCCAAATGATGGTGAGTGAGTGAGATGTGTGTGTTTATCTGAATACTAACTGGGTGAACAACACTTCCAGAAACCACTGACGTGGCATTTCCAAATGGATAAATGGTCTGAATGGGAGATGGCTGAGTTGGTTCCTATTCATTTGGTCACCTTTATATCATATAGGAAAAATATATAATGAATTGTGACTCTGAAGACATCAGGTTAGAGAGAAAGAAAGAAAGATTTAAAATTCTAAGCGAACACTTTCATCTAGTATGCTTTCACTTTCATCTAGTATGTCCACCCTTTAGACGACAGGATGTGTGGGACATGGAATGTCTTCATTTATGTTTTGTATAGTTCTGCGTTAGTGCTGAATAAATAAAAATAATAATTATATTATCCTCAGGGGCTGGATAAACAGTAAGGAACTGCAGAGTGAACTAAAAATGTCACATGTGTATCTGCATAGGACACTTGGAATAAACTTTAGTGGCAACTTTAAATAGTATCCCCCACATATGTTGCAAATATGACAACAATTAGGGCTAAAATTCTCCTCCAGGCCGTAAGCCAGAGCAAATGGCATTGCACAATGGACATCGGCACCACTTGGGGCCGTGGTTCGCTGCTCCAGGCCAATGGGGGCTGCTGGAAGCGGCGCGGGCCGAGGGACTTACTGGCCGCCGCTTCCCGCATCTCCCATTGGCCTGGAGCAGCGAACCGCGGCCAGTGGGAGCCGCGATCGCCCGGACCTGCGGATGCGGCAGGTAAACAAACTGGCCCGGCCCGCCAGGGGCTTTCCCTACACAAGCGGCGTCCCAAGTTTGGGAAACACTGCTCTAAGGGCTGCAGAGTAGTAGTAGAGCTGTGGGGGCTGCAGAACACAGTATGTGAAGCTTGGGCCGGAAGATCTAGGTAGTCGCACAGTCACAGCCCATGTGCCCACCCCACTCCCAACTTCCTGTTCTGCAGAAGGTGGATCAAGCCCCTATATAAACTTATATATGAATGTGTGAGTGTACATATAGATAATGTATAAAATACTACTAACAATGTAACTTAAGGTTTTATATTGCATCACCGTAGTATATGAGCACACCAGGAACTAATAAGATGGGTACATAACATAAACATGTCTCATCTTTCGCCATGGTAACCCTGGTTCATCCCATGTGCCTCACTCAGGCATTGTTTACTGTCATCGTGTGCTCTGTCATGTCTGAATTTGACTGTAAGCTCTCTACAGCAGTGATCTGTCTGTTCATTTATATGCTCTGTGTATTCTAGGGGGGCTCTGTAAATAATAAAAACAGTTTGCCCATTACCACACATGCACCTATCCTATTTATAAGGTTTGTCTGGACTTTATTCTTTTTATGAGGTTTTGTCTCTTCCTATGTTCCTCATGATGGATTTTAAAACCTTAATCGTCACGGTTTGGATGAGGGATGGACTGGAGGGCAGGGTATTCGTGGGGCTGCTATGTAAGTTGTTTGCATGTAAAGAATCAAAAAATTTTTTTTATCTGAGAAAATAACTATTGATCATTAACCCCTCCCCCCCCACAAAAATACTCCCAGCAATAGACTGAAAATGCCTAATGAAATAATTTTAAGAAGTCGTTGCATGTTCTGAGGCTAATTTGTATTAACACGAAAAGCTTCCGTTTTATAAGCGCTAAATTCTTTCACGGCAATTTATGTAGCAACAATGTTTTACAATGGGATTTTAGTTTGACTTCATGGAGCTCGCTACACTCTACTGCTCCCAAACTTTTTGTCTCCAAACAATGACATGTTCACCAAAAGGGGCCACCTACCGTGCTATGCTAGTCAATAGCAGCAGGATGGGTTAGGATGTATGATGGCTTTAGGGGATCTCCTACTGGGTTTAAAACCTCTGGATCGCTGAATCTATGTAATTGGTGAATTCACAACTATTTCATATTTCCCGCTATAAAAAGAGTCCTAGTCAATTCCTACTCTGAAATGTTTTAAGATTTTTTTTAAAAAATGTTATTTCACCTGTTAATATAGGGGGACAGTTTATTTTGGCTAGTTCTCCTGGGTTCTGCATGCCAGGTTAGCAATAAAATAACGTTCAATACTCTAAACATTCTGTTATACAGATTCTTGTTTCGGCATAAATATAGACTTATTACATATGGCAGGTTCTTAATGCATTCTCCAGCATCAACACCATTAGATTCACATACAATTGCCTACTGAGGGGATCTATTTACAAATATTTTTATTACTGATCGTCATCTAAAAAATGCTACTGCAGGTAAGCCCATTTGCCTGCGATGGCCTCTGTTTCACTGGAGTTTGATCAACAACAAGAAGAATTAAATTTGCTTTTTTGGAAAGCAAAATGAAACTACTGTATCCCAGTGGTTTCGCACATGCCGTACATTCCTGAACACAAAACAGGCTTTGTGTTTAAAGAATGGTACAGTTACAAAGATAAGATAAAACAGGACTGGAATATAATATTCCTGGGAAATTTCAGTCCCCCAAGCAAGCATGAAGTTAGCAATTTAAAGAGATTTTATGAACAGCGTGGCCAATTGCTGAGGTCCTTACTCAGAGAAAACTGCCTGTGTGGCTAAGGATTGAGTGAAAACTCAAGCACCAATTCTCCTCTGACTTACATCGGTATATCAGGATTAAGTGCACTGACAACAGTCTAGGGGCTCTACATTCACGACGGTGTGAGTGGGGGTAGAGTGAGGCCCTGAGGATGGGAATTCTGGCTCTGTTTTTAAGTAAATGACTAATTTTCACTTCAGAGGGTCAGAGTGAGTCACGGATAAGACCGTGCAGTGTATTTCTTGTGCTGGGAACCAGGCTATGAGGTGCTGGTGGCTACGGGAGATACAGCTTTGGATCCATCTTTACTGTGATGAAACAGGAAGTGTCAAATTCTGCTTGCCATCAGGGGCTACTCGTATGAGTCAGGAGCAGAATTTGCCATTCGGTGCTTTGAGTCCCCTTGTCTCTCTTGGGAAGGATTTGCCGAACAGGTCCTTTCCAATGTGCTGTTTAACACCAGTTCTCCCAAGCCCTTGGTTCTGTCAGCCAGGTGCCAGGCACTTGAAGCCCACATTAACTAGGCCAACCTGCCTTCTTTCAGGTAGTGTTTTGTTTCATTTCCCCTAGCAGGCTCTCTCTACGGCCAAGCCCAAAGCCTGCCTGACCCTCTTGTGTGCAGGTCAGTGCAGGAGAGTCCCAAGCAAACGAGTTCCCGCACCAAATCTCTCTTAGTGGAGTCTGCCATTCACTTTGCCCTCTTGAGCCCTGAGAGTTCTCCTTCTCCTGGCAAGGAGAGAGTGGGAGGCGGCTAAAGGGGGATAGATTGATCCTGGAGATAGCGGGGGGGGGGGGGGGGGGCTGGCTTCGGACTGTGTCCATTCCCACTGATTACCTTGAAGGGGGTGGTTGTTGCCAGGGGATGCCACCTCTACTGAGAGCTCTGAGGTAGAACTGCGAGCCAGCCTGGTGTCTCTGTGGACTGTTCAGCTTCTTCATTCTCTTCTTAGCCTCATAAGGGACTTTGAGGGAGGTCTGCCACCCACAATACATCCCAAAACCCATGGCGGAGAACACGTGTGTATGGCATATAGCCATAGCATAGGCAACCTCTGGGGGTGGGAGGGGGGGTCATACAGCAGTTATGGCACACAGCCAGAGAAAACCTTTGGGGGTTGGAGGTCAGACAGCAGTTACAGCCCCCCTCTGCTCCTCACAATGGGCCACACGAGCCGCTATTTAGGCTCCCATTAATCCTCCGTGGCCACACTTCTAACAATACCTGCAACTGTTAGCACTGAAAGATACATTTCTAAAAAAAAAAAAAAAATCAAACTTCTGCTGCTTCCTTTGCCATTTGCTCAGCTTAGAAAATGGAAACAGATGTCTGTGTCTTGTGCAGTAGCCCAAAGCTGCAATGTTTGGGTTGTCGGTGCTGTGACGGAGTGTTTAAATCCCCAAACTACTTTCATGGAAATCAAATTAAAAAAACAACAACATGAAAATACGTCTATGTCCTATTAAACAGTATAATTAAAACCCATTAAAATCCACATGGAAGGGTTGTTTAAAAGGTGGATTCCTGACCTGATAATCTAGGCAATTAGAGTGCAAACACTGCTCAGAGTTCACCATTACCTTAGACCAATCCCCTGTTTTCCACTCATAACAGCCTGTGTGATCCTCACACTCTTCCTCGTCCCTTGGCCTGGTGGCTGCATCGCATTTCCCTTGAGAATTCGTGCACATTACTGTTCTCTTCTGGATTCCCCTCCCGCAATCTGCTGAGCACTGAAAAACAAGAGGCATTACCTTCAACTGCTGCACGACCAGGGCCGGCTCCAGCATTTCTGCCGCCCCAAGCAAAAAAAAAAAAA